AAAAAAAAAAAAAAAAGAATTATATGATTTAACTTTATTTATTTATTTATTTACTTATTTTAATTTGACCAGAGAGGGATAGAGCTGGGGGGTGGGGGGGAGTGAGAAAGCAAGGCACGAGGTCCAGGACTAGAACCGTAGTTCGAACCACCTGCATGGGAGTCCAGCGATGTAACCATTCCACTATCTGCTGGTCCCACAGCACTGATTTATTAGCAAGGTTATCGTCACTGTTTTAAAATGGAGGCAGCAGAGTGCAACAATATTCTTCTCTAGCATGCTTTACACATGCTTCTCTTATGGTTTGGTCTATTAACCAGGAAAGAAAAAAATGAAACTTCCTTTGATGGGTAAGACAACTATTCCTACATGCCTTGCTCATAAAGCCTTTTCTTGAGAGATGGTAAGTCCCTGGTGTCTTAAAGCAACCTTCACGTGTGTTGCAGCAATATTTCATCTATAAAATCTAAACTTTGAGCCTGAAAGGCCTTATACTTAATACAGACACATTTTTCAAAACACATCCTGCCTTTCCTGCTTGTTCCTGTTTTTGCTTGGTTTCATATTTGAGGGGAGTTCTCCGTTAAGTACTTAGGTCCTTCTCTCTTCCCATCCTCACAAAACAGAGTGTAAAGTATCTGAGCTCTATTGATAGATGCTATCGTGAACTGAGCTACACTCGCCTACCTTAGACAGGTACTCTCATATGTAAGACTGACGTTTACTCAGAAGTGTGGCTTTATGAGAAAAGATTTTTTTTTTTTTTTTTTGCTATAGGATGCATATGCTCGCCAGAAAGACAAAGAGAGACAGAGAGACAGAAAGCGAGAAATCACCCCCCAGGGGAATGGCCATGCCATAATCCCTTCTCCACCATTCTCCTCTTCGGATCTTGGACATGTACGCACACGCACCCGGCCTGAGTTTAAGCTACTGGGTTGGGGACTCAAACTGCAGTTGACTACATGGGAGTTCAGTGACATAGCCATTACGCTAACTGCTGGTCCCTGGAAAAAAAAATCTTTTTGAAAGTTTATGCTGGAAGGGGAGGATGAGCTCAACACAGTCACTCTTCAGGAAGGCTCCAACTTAATCTTAGAAAGTGGACTCCATGCTGCTCAATTGAGATACATTAGCCTTTGGGATCAAACTAGGAATGTGAATCTCTAATTATTAAATTCATTGCCTACAAGATACTTGATAAATCTGAAAAGCTAGCTCCTTAACCTAAGTCCATCTCTTCTTTAACTCTACAATTCTGACTTACACTGATCTCAAACTGCTGAATGCTAAATATTAACATTTAGCAGTAACTGTCTTGGCAAACAAAGGGCCTTTTCTGTGCAATCTAGTCCATCTCATTTCTGGTGCAACCTGAGTTGGACAGAATTATAGCTTATGGTTGCTAGGAGAGCTGGGCCTCTGATGGTAGCAGCAGATAGCTTCAGTCCCACTCAGTATAGGCCTAGATAAAAGAAATAACTCTTAGGACTGCAGTTGTTATTGTCTTCCAATTTCCTTTCTCACACACTGTACACAGGTAGTATTTTTCTGTGTGGATACAAAGTGCGTCTGGTTCTCTGGAGACAATTATCTTTGGCCCTTTAGATTCTTTACATTGTGATAATGCTGTATTTAAAGAGGATATTTAAATGTGATATTAAAGAAATATTCAAAAGAAAAAAAACACATGCAATTCCAAAATATCTTTGCACCAAAATAAGCTTGTACTTTAATTCCATTTTTCTATGAACTTTTAGGAAGTACCCACGTATAATTAAGCAGGTGGTAGATGGCTGTCATCAAACTCATGGGAGTGGCCCATGAACTGGGAACTTCAGAACACAAACGCAGCTGTGTCGTAAGCCGCTGGACCTGCCCTCTTGGCAAGGTTGTTCATTTCATCCTCCAGCATTTCGGATCAGGCACCAGAAGATCCACGAATATCCACTCATCTCTGCCCTGGAGAAGGAAAGGGAGAGATACAATGCATTCCTTACTCGTTTTCCAAGGAGCCTCAAAGTTAAGCCAGATGCACCTGCCTGTCCCTTCCTGGAGAACAGATGGGTATGAGCACAAGTAAGATGACCCTGGGAGCCGGGCACTGGTATGGGCAGACTGAACAGTGTAAAGGGTCACTGGGATGGGCAGCTTGCAAAATCTACCTTCCTGGCCCGGGGCAAGTGGGTCTCAAGTCAAGACAGCAGAGCGGGGTCCAGCAGGGACTCATGGAAAAGGTAGTTAATCCAGCACTTCCCAGGAGATCAGCCACATAAGCCCAAAGCCATGAGGACTGAGTGTCAGAGTGAAAAGTTTCAGACATCAAATGATCCAAGCCTCTCATTTTCCAGTTGCAAACGAGACAGGAAGCCTTTAGGTGAAGGTCAGAGCTGACTGGTGACCAGAGGTGCTCATACATAAAAGTAAAAGCTCCTTTCCGGGAGTTCTATGATATCCGACTTGCCCTGCTCCTTACCCAGGAGGGACTCATAACCACTAGTCACCCTGGCAGTGCTAGACACCGCAGTCCTATTCAACTCATTGGATGCTGTGGCCTGGGATTCAGAGGGGAGCTAGAAGTGTTGAGAGAGGGCTGTCTGAAGTCTCAGGGTGAGGCGACTCCCCAGAACTCATTCACTGCCATGCCAGCCTGACCGCACCAGATCTTAACTTGCAGTCGGGGCTGCATGAGACTCACAAAAGATATAAAAGGATAAGCTTGGCAAGGAATGGATGTGCTCAGTTGCAGAGGGAGGCCCTTGAGCCCCAAAGAAAGTACACGTACCCACACACACACACACATACACCACAAAAAAGTTCTCTGCACCACACCTGCCTTTCCCAGATGGGACTCCCTGCGCAAACGCCTCCTCCTCCTCCGGGATTTTCCTACGGTGTAGAAAGCTCCTCCCTCGACTGAAACTCGTGCGATGCTAGCGCCCAGCGCCCGCCAGTGCGGCTGGGGGCGACGACGAGGGGGCCCCGCTCGCTGCCATTGGTTGTGCAGACCGAGGCGGGCGGAGGGACGCCTCGCCCTCTGGGCCGAACCCGCAGTCGGGAACCGACTCCCGCTGCGCCAGCTGCACGCTGTCAGCTAGTGGCCTCGCGTCTGGTTTTTCCGCGGCCGCTTGGTGGGCGCGGGTCGCCGCGACAGGGGCGCAGCCGCTCCGACATCGTCCCTTGAGATCGCGCGTCCGGACCAGCAGGTGAGTGAGGGGCTTTGGAGGAGACCGGAGAGCCAAGAGCAGAGTGGAGAGCGGGAGAAAGGCGGGGTGCCAAGAGCTGGGGAGGCTCGCTGTCCACGAGGGTCGCCTAACTCTTCGCCTGAAGCGACCTCTGGTCCCGGGGGCTGCCTCCCTCCGGATCATCTTCCCAGACTCTCCCCGGCCTCCTTGAGACGTGGGTCTGCCTGTGGAGCATCCCTTAAATGTATCCCTTTTGTGCCCCGCCGTGTCCTTACGGTCACGGAGCAGCTACCGCTGTCGGCTCTCCGCCTTTGGGGGTGACGCTGTGGGAACTGCGAGGAGCCTGGCTCGGTGTGCTTGGCCCCGGGGGGACCTGCCTCAGCCCCGCAGACGGCGCGAGCCGGGAAGGTCTGACCTCGCGCGAGCCGCTGCAAAGGTCGATTCCTCCGCGCAAGTGTGGACGGTTCACATTTTGCAGAGTTGTGTATCTAGGTTTATTGTATTTTTGCCTTTGCGGCGTGTGTGGTCATGCTTGTCTTTGTTTTGCGCTTATCTACATTTCTAGGATCATCTGTCCCTTCCCGGGGACCCGCCACACTTACACTGACAGCGGCTTTGCACCTTACAGCGCTCGCTAGTCTTTTCAGTATCTTCGGGTGGCTTCGAACCCGGGGAAGTTTTACCTGGCGCTGAACACTTGCGTTCCCCAGCGGTGGTTGCCCGAGTTTCCAGGAAAACCAGCAGGTATTGCACCCGCGACCTTTCCCTTTCCCAGGATCTGATGAAAAGCCTGCAAATATTTCCCGGTCGAGGTGCTGGGATTATGAGCAAACTGAGTTCTCATTTAGGACGGAGCTATGCGATGCGCCTGTCTCTGGGGAGCAGAGAAACAGACACAGAAACATCTTGTCAAGGATCAGGTTTGGGGGCTTGTTGCCTCTGCCCTTTCTGCCTCCAGATGCCCGCGCCCCGCTAGGCTCCGTTTGGTCTCGCACTCCAGAGACGGGGTCTGTTTCTTAATGTCCCTCATTTCCTCAGCCGGGTCATTTTCTTGCAGGGAAAAAAAAAAATCTGCTAAAGTGACTAGTCCGGTGATTCTTTGTGGCGGATGGCTGGAGGACATCGCAAAGCTAAAGCGTTTAGTACAGCCCACACTACAGGTGCAAAGGGCAGGGAAAACTGACAGCCCTTACCATCTCTGTTGTCCAGTGCCCAGCCTGGGGATCACGCCCCAGGATGTTTTTTCTCTGTTGCATTTTACTTAGATTTTCCAGATTCCTTCCCACAACAATCTACAAACAGAGAAAGAGACAAGTGGTAGTCTTCTCTAAAAAGTTTACCTCTTAATGCCATTTTACTGTCCAATGCATCTTCTTTAAAATAAATAAATAATTTGTTCAACTATGCAGCTAGGCTGGGTGTTTTAGCTTGGTGGTAATCTGGCCCATAGAGGTTCTTAAATACCTTTGTTTGTGACTAAATATGCTTTATTTGGCTTAGTAGGATGGTACCTTGTCCTCTCCACCACTAGGTGTAGGACGCCCTTTATAACCAGCACATAGTGGATGTGTAAAACAAAGGCTGTTTGCAGTGCATGTGAGGGAGGCTGCCTGTCACAGAGCTACCCTGACAGCACTCACGGGCCTGGTCACCTTCTAAAGCTGGGCATTGTTGGAATAGGGAACTGAATACCAGAAAGTAAGTGGGATAGTCCGCTTTTGTTTTGCTTTTAGAGGGCTTTTTTTTTAACTTATTAATTTTGGTTCCTCTACTCATGACAAAGTGCTTTGAAGAGCTCAATGCATATTCATGGTTTTCATTAAAGATGCCTGATCGAAGGTAAAATCGATGCTGTTCTCCCTTGCTGCTGAATAGTTCAGCACAACAGATTTTACTAGACGTCTGTGATGTGCACAATCACGTCAGGGATTAAAGAGATACGCAAGGACAAGTCATCAAATCCATCAGAGAGTTGATTTGCAGGTTTCTTGAGTTTCTATATTTTTTCAATGAGAACAGATGAGAGATGACACAGCTGATTGGTAAGAATGATTAATCATACTGATTATTAAGTCAATTTGGAGTTACAGATTCATTATAAAAATGAAAAATTAACCCAGCACAGGCAAAATTCTCTGATTCGACCTATATTCTAAATCCAGTCTGAGCTAATTTGGTAATAGTTCTGTGGGCTTACTCTTCTCCCTGCCCTCATTTTTAAATATTTCTCTTTTTTCCTTCTTTTTTTAAAAAAAAGTTTGCAGAGAGCTGACCCATAATCTAGTGGTTAGGATCCTACATGGCTAACTGGAATTTAAATCTAGTCTCATTGGCTTAAAAAACATGCTGAGCGCATGCCCCTCTTCTCCCAAAGAGATGGAGACATGGAGGAGAAAGAATTGAGGCATCAGTGACCTCATCCGATTGTGGGAGTGCTTTCTCCCTCCGACCCTCACTCTCTGTCTCTCTGGCAAATGCACATATTCTCCGACAATTGAAATATAGTGTGTGAGGTTTGTATAGGCGTTTTTATATATTATGAACTACTAAGGAAAACCAAAACATAAAATCGTGGCCAAATTGTTGTGCTTTGCTCATCTAGGTCTTCTAAGTAGTAACAAGAACCTGGAAAACAATTTCTGAAAGATACTTGATAGCAGGCTTTTTTTTTTTTTTTGATCTGACTTGCCTGGCACCTGGCACCCATGAACCATTCAGTATTTGTTGAATGGAACCACAAGCCAAAAGGGAATGTTGAGGAAGAGTGCTATTTACTTCAAATCTATTTGTGGATCATATTATAATATATTACTATATTATTATAGAGCATCATAGACCTAATTTTTATAGAGTGTCATTACTGTTCATAATGAAAGCCTAAATGAATAAATAAAGCCTTTAAGTTAGTTCATGAAATAAGGAACCTAACAAAGAAGTTCAAATGTTAAGTGCAGAAGTTGGCATGATTCTTTGTAGCCAACATATGTACATGGAGGATTCGAGTCAGAGGCTTCCATGAAGAAGTCCTTGGCATGCAAATGAGGTGCAGCTTTGGCCTAAAATTCAGGAAGTCTGTCTGTGCATTCACTGGCCATTTCCGGTCTAAGTTAGCAGGCTTCTGAGACAACTGGAGTCCCTTCAGTTCTGATTCTGAAGTGGTAGAGTGTCCTGAGATGCTCCCTCTTGTGATGTAGAATGCCTGATCCAAGAGATACTTAGGAATAGGCCTTTTCTCATGTTCACATCTAGAGCCAGGACATAGTCATTATTTAGGTTTTACTAAATCTAGCAGTTAAAAAGACAGAGAAGAAGAGAGAGAGCAAGAAAGAGATTCTAAGAAGTCAAGTAGCCATGTACACTGTAATGGTATCTCTATGCATGAAATGCCACAGTCCAGCCAAAATCGTGCCAATATTCAAAGCTCCAAATTCATATCGAGAACAGGAAACATCATCGATATTTCTTGAGTTACTAACTTTTAAATCCCCATCTATCAAGTTATATTACAATGGGAAATTAGTCAACCCAGGTTTACGATTTGTATTATGAGCTCGATGGCTGATGCCTAAATTGTTATAGAGCATGGAAAATATAAGCCTTTCGAGTTGTTAAAGGGTCAGTTAAGAAAGTAACAGCTGGGCCCAGCCATGGTAGTCTGCATTGGATGCTTCTGTTCATCAGGCTGAGGCCAAATGGGAGTGCCTGGGTTTGACTCCTGACCGATCTCGAAAAGCTGTGTGCATCTGTGGTTCCAGCTACATAGGAGGTTGAGACAAAAGAATCACAACACAGTGAGGCCCTATGTAAAAAAAACATCGCATATGCATGCATGTGCACACATGCTTGTGTACACATACACAAGCTTATGTACACCTACACTATAAAAAAAGGGAATAGATCTGAATCTAACTTTTGGTAGGAAGCAAAAGGATAGGTGGTTGTAAGAATTTGTTTAAATTCAGAAAAACAAAACAATGACTTAAACCACAGTTAAAACACTAACTCAGTTCATTCAGAGAATATTCAACATAAAGATTCACTTCCTAGGACAAGCAAAATAGCACTATATTTTTTCTTTTTTGGAGAGGTTTTTGCTATAGGGCGTGTGCATTTGCCAGACAGACAGAGAGAGACAGAGAGACAGAAAGCGAAAAATCACCCCCCAGGGGGGTTGGCCACGCCGCAATTCCTTCTCCTCCATGCTCCTCTCGGGATCTTGGGCACGCACGCACGCACACGCACCCAGCGTGAGTTTAAGTCACCGGGTCTGGGACTCGAACTGTGGTCGACTACATGGGAGTCCAGCAACATACCCATTACGCTAACTGCTGGTCCTGAAAAATAGCAGTATTTTTGATGAATTTGCCACAATAGTCTGCTACTAATTATAAGTGCCCAGTAGTTTACCAACTATTGTGAATTAAACTGGCTTGGTTCTTACTCACTTTCAATTTCTCTGCGACCAGGATTATAGCAGAGGAATATACACTTCTTATTTCATAAATATGTCATTCACAACATCCTGTCAAATGCAACTTTTACTCAAAATACAATTAAGCTTTATTAGGAAGATAAGCTTTCTGGATTGAGGGTCTTAAACTTTGAAAAAAAAATGTTTCAAATGAACCATTTCAAAGGATTGTGTTAAGTATAGACAGGATGAAAGAAGAAGAGAGAGGAAAAGAACAGTAAGGGAAGAGGAGAAAAAGGAAGGAGGAAAACAATTTCTGGGCTTAAAAATAAGCAGTATTTCACTGCATATGCTAAGATTAGATTTTATTTCTATTTCTTAGTGGAAACACCTATATTGCTTTTACAAAACAGTACATGTTCTTTGTATCAAAATTCAAAAATAGAAATGCACAAAATAGAATTCTAGTGTACCCCTAATACCATCTTCTAAGAAAAACATATTTAACAGCTTGGTACCTAAGCTCTTGTTTTGTTTTTCGTCTAAAATTGTGTGTGTGTGTCTGTGTGTGTGTGTGGTAGGAAGAGAAGTAGCAGTAGTAGTTGTTTAACAAAAATGAATTCATACTCCACATTATTCTGAAACTTACTCTCTTGACTTAGCCATATATGCCCAGCATCTTTCTATATTAGAGAATACAATGCTTTTTAATAGCATCAGAATACTCCATTATATGAGTCTTCCACCATTTTTAACCAATTCTTGATTCATGGCCATTTTGGTAGTTCCAGTATTTAACTTAAAAAACATAGGATAAGTTCTTAGAATTTTTAAATTTATACAGTTAACCTATAATACTATACATTTTGGGGTGAAAATAAAGCTGATATATACATATCTATGAATACATGTCTGACTTTGGCATAAACCTCAGTGAGTAGAATGAACATACTACAAACTAGCACCTAGCTGGTCTATATAGCTTACTGCAGTCATTAAATAGGTATTTTTTAATTTAATTTTTAATTTCAAGAAAAACAGTTTTAGTTTTAATAGATCAAAATTTAAAAATGTTAAGAGAAGTTTTCTCTTTTTTTTTTTTTTTGAGAGATTTTTCACTATAGGGCATGTGTGCTCACCAGAAAGAGAGAGAGACAGAGAGACAGAAAGTGAGAAATCACCCCCCCAGGCGGGATGGCCACACCGCAGTTCTTTCTCCTCCATTTTCCTCTCGGGATCTTGGGCACGCATGCACATGCGCCCGGCGTGAGTTTAAGCCACCAGGTCCGGGAATCAAACCGTGGTCAGTGGAGTCCAGCGCCATAGCCATTAC